TTTTAATGAAACTTTAGTCCTTTATTAGTGCTCCCATTTTACATTTATACTATCATTTAGTTCATCCACCATGTCATTTCAGGTACTTTGGAAACTACGGGATAATCCGTGACATAGTGCACAGCCACATTCTTCAAACGATAGCACTATTTGCTATGGAACCACCTGTTAGTCTTGATGGGGAGGATATCCGCGATGAGAAGGTAACCGATAAAGCACTATAATTTAATACCAGAGAAAACCATGCACTTACCATCCTGGAAGTAAAAAAATGCTAATATTTGTTACAGGATTAAGAAAACTATATGTTATGCAGGTGAAGGTGCTCAAATCAATTCGAAAAGTGGACATTGAGGATGTCGTCCTTGGTCAACTCAAAGATACCTCCGGTAAAGTTGACAGATATACAAAATCAATGACACCTACCTACTTTGCTGCCGCCATGTACATTGACAATGCACGTTGGGATGGGGTGCCTTTTTTGATCAAGACTGGAATGGGACTTATGGAGAATAGGTACTCTCAATGAGTTCCATAACTTTTACCATTAGATGTCTTGGCTGGTTTATCTCTTACTCTCAAAAGAAGTCAGTGTCTGATTTCAGTCACCTCATCATATCCTTTTGTTATAATGGAATCATCATCATTATACCTTCCATAAATCTTTGAATTCTCCAAAGGTAAAAGTGCATAGTGTTTCGTATGCATAGGTAACACTCTTGTCATACTCCCTCCGGTTTGTACTAAACCAGCGACAATTAATATGGACCGGAGGGAGTATTATTTTCAATAGCCCACCCTCCTCTGAGCACATTATTGAGATCTTTGCATGCTTACTGTTTCAGAAAAACAATGTACCACTTACCTACCTGATCAAGCATAGCTGACAATTCTTAATCCTTCATTTCCTTCAGAGCTGAGATTCGTATTCAATTTCATCATGTCCCTGGCAATATCTACCGTGAACGTTTTGGTCATGACATAGATCTCGACACAAACGAGCTGATTTTACGTGACCTACCCGAAGAAGCCATTCTCTTGAAAGTCAACAATAAGGTCCCGGGACTTGGGCTCCAGTTGGATGCTTCAGAGCTCAACCTACTTTACAGGGACAGGTATGGAGGTCACTTTGATCATCTTGTGATCTACAGTATTCAAGAGAGCTGGTACTGAATCATGATGCATGCTTTGCAGGTACGACGTTGAAGTTCCAGATTCATATGAGCATCTTCTTTTGGATGTTCTAGATGGTGATAGTCATCTGTTCATGCGCAGCGACGAATTAGCTGCTGCATGGAGCGTATTGGCACCTATACTCCATGAGATCGACCAGAAGAGGGTTGCTCCAGAGCTCTACGAGGCTGGGGATAAAGGACCAATTAATGCTTACTATCTCGCTGCTAAACATGGAGTCCGATGGGATGATGGCTGCTGAACTGTGGGAGCTGCTCAATGTATTTCGCTTCCTTCTCTGTGTGTAGCAAAATCTGTTAAGTGAACTAAAACAAGAACTGGAGAAAAAAAAGGTATTTCTTGCTTGTTGATTCAAACCCTTCGAAGGTGGAAAGGTACTATTACCGACCGAGCTGATATGTTGCACCCGACAATGAGGATGGAGTAGTGCATTTAGCGAGTCGTGTGGGGTGACTTGTGTAAATTGGACCTTACTTTTTTGCTAATAGTTGCAAACATCTTATGGAAATGTTAAGTATGCGTGGGTCGTGTTGTCATTCTCAAGCGGTCATTTGATTCCGCAAAGCAAACAAATTGCTTGAAACTCAAGAAGCTGCAGAGTCCGGAATTTTCTGTTCCTTTCCCCCCAAACACTTCCCTGATAGTACTGTTTTTGCCGCCTTGGTATCAAGGTAGATTCTGACAATCCAGTTTATCCAATGTAAACTGACTTTTTTTTTCTCTTTTTGAGAAACACATACACCTCGCTATCAATGGAACGTTGCCACCCACCCATTAAAAAAATCCACATTTATGAGATATGCAAGAATCAAACATTTCCTGATGGGCTGGGGGTGCAATCACCCTTCCGAACCATCTAACCATAAGTTGGTATTGGTTTCCACTGCAATTTATATGGGTAACTTGGTGACTATTGGTTTTTGTTGCCTTTTGACTAAGTAATTTTAAGCCCCTTGATACCAATGCTAATGTTGTGTTATGGCCTTATGGAATGAAAAAGGAGTGAAGTCTAATTTCTTTCATTAACCATGATGAAATGTCCAGTTTACAAACTTTGTTTTTCAGTTTACAAAGCATCTAACAACATTAACATATGAATTATTTGCACATACAGGGAATTCATATTATCTTTTAGAGTGCAATTTCTAGATGGCAATCTCTTTGTAGCAACAACAATCAGGATAGACCATCCGAAGCTTCCTTCCCAGTGGAATTGTCAAAAAATGTGTTCGCACATGAATAGTCATGGTGTGCTCTCAACGTCGAGTACAATACGTATAACACATCGCCGAAGGAGCCTCGCCAGGAACACGATATGCAGGACACACAAACGATGTCTCTTGAAGACCCGAAATCTCGCACATCGGGGAGGGACCCGTCAGAGCATGACGACTATGAGCTGTCCTAAGTCGGCCTAACCTCCTCTAGGGCCTTGTGTTTCACTGTCGTCAAAGACGAAGAACACCAAAGAACGAGAAGCAACAATCAGGATAAGAAAGAGAATATAATAAAGTAGTACATGGATTTGACCAATTGTTTGTTGTTTAATCGGCCATCGCCTCTGACTCTACACTTTCATATAAGAAAGGGACTTGAAATCCCGTCCAAAAACTAAAAACCTAGCTTAACTTGACAGGTTGAAGCCCCCAAAATAGGCTTCCACTCAGCTTTATATATAAAGCCACACAACCGAACGATACAAGGTAGTAAGTTAGCCCTCTTACAAAGCAGACCAAAGGAAAATTCAAACATTGTACCACAAAAAAGTGCAAAGTGCACTACTAATGTTGCGAATGAGCACATGAGAGTGTGAAGACATTACGTCACAACCAACTGTACATGGGCTCCACGACAACACCCCAAAAGGGTAATAACGGTGCAAAGTGTCTCCGTTGTCAAGTCCGTAGGGCCAGACAAAGGTTTTCACCTGAAGCCCTGGCACAGAGAGGTGCCCCAAAGCCTCCTCACCTCTTCCGAGTAGGCTCTGAGCGGCATGCGCTTCTACTTTGGCTTGAATTAATACCAGAGCCTCTGAGTTGTTTTTGGCACCTGTTTTTTTTTAACCCTTTTTTGGCTCTAGAGGTCGCATACGACCTCAGATTAAGATGATCTGAAAAAGCAAAGTTGCTCGTCTCGAAAAACACACAACTTTCATGATGATCAGTTCTCGATAAAGATCATCTTGAGAACACTTCTGTGCATGCCAAAAGCTGGTATCAACAGAAAGGCAGGCATATACCACGTTGGCTATAAGGGCATTAGAGCGTCAGCTAGCTTAGTTTTCTGAAAGAACGTAGAGCCCATAAAATACATAACATCCTCCTACCTGACAACTATAGAATGAATTCGGGAGTTGGTGGAATAATGCGATCAGACATGCAAGTTAAGAGGTTGGTATTAAGTAATCAATCGCTTGCACTTATTTTACAAAAGGTTTTTCAAATGAACGAGATCTTTGTTTGTGCTATTAAGTAATCTAATATCTCCTTTTTGAATTATTTTGATAATTTCTTGCTTTGTGTGGAGTTATGGTAGGTGAAGTTCATTTTATCAGAAGAATTCTTCAAATGCATTGGTAACTGCACCTCCGCTATCTTGGTTTTTCGATGTTGTGTTTGGTTCGCGCACAACCAAACACACCCTTTGGCGAATTCATAGAGGTGATACCTGGCCGATCCACCGGACAGCAAGATGAATTCAATTTTGATGTACGTAAAATTTAAATGAGCAACAGATTAAGAGATTAACTAATTGCCTCTTTTCAAAACTTCTGATATATTTCATACATAATAACGCAGTACAACATGGTGTTCAGGGGTGAGAGGGGGGGGGGGGTACGAAGCTGAATGATTCACCTGGATCCTTTGTTTGCCAAACAAACTGCTGAGTGCTGAGAAGCCACAGTACCCAATTAGTCGCCAACAGGATCATGCCAACAGTAAAAAAACTGAGGGCTATGTTCCACACTCAAAATCTCCACGAATGATTTTGTGATCAGACTGCCACCGCAGCATATTCAGTTTTCCGCCATGTCATGAATGTCCTAATTCTTCCTGTCTATCAAACCTATCACAATAGGCGAACTCCACTGCTTCACCAGTCTGCAAAAGTAAGAGTGCAATGTGAGAAAAAACATATGCACGTAAGTGAGTGTGCACATCAGGGTTCATGTAAAGGCAGGAACTAAATAGAAAATATATAAAACTTTCACCTTAAGCTGTCTTTTGGGGTTTGTACCCATTCGAATAACATGCTGCTCTTGAAAAACAGTGACTCCCTGCAGTAGAAAATGATTTGTAATTGGAGTTTTTACTGTAACAGGTGATTTATGCACTGGGGCTGCCCTTTTACTGTAACAGGTGATTACCCAGGTTCTAGCTCAGCATAATCTGACCTCTAAGAAGTGACCTTGCTTAGAGCAGCAGTCACATTACCATCCATAGTTGCAAACATACCTCAAGGGAACAAGCTCCCCATGTGCAGTTCGCTCACAGTAGATGATGAAATCATGTTCAGATGAAACCCGGATTCTGAATATGTTACCTATAAGAAAATTAAACTGCCATTAAACTAGTTATCCTGAAGCCTTCAAATGATGAAATCAATAGGATATGCATATAACTGCAAAATGGAATTATTACTGGAGAACCCAAGGGTAACTGCTCTAACTCTTATAAGAGACATAAAGCGGAAGCATCACCAAAATGAGGACTTCCGTAACCAAGGGTAATTTTACTCAGATACTGAGAATTACCAAATAGCAGGATGAGATGACGTAGGACAAGGAATCTACCTTGCCATTCACCTCACCAATAGTCCTTGCATGAGCAAAATCCGTCTTTGAAATGATGGAACCTATTAGCATCTCTGAGTATGATTTCCCTGGAAGTTATTTTTGCAATCAACTTCATAGCAGCATGGCAGTCACCACACACTCTAAGGTTCTTCATGACACGAATGGGCATTCCTTCTGGAACTTTCAAAAGTCCATACGCCACAGCCTGCCTCTCACTATGATATCGCAAGCTATGAAGTTTTTGCTCTTCGTCTATATCATGGAGCACAAAGCTTCCGTCAGCTGAGTAACCAGATTCCATCAGTAGACCATCTAGTTTCTCCAACATCTTAAGGATAATAGCATGCTCTGGGTGTGCTAATATATCACCAGATGTGAAGAGGTGCACCCTCTTGTCGTACTCTATCCAACTACAGCCTGTAGACTTGTTTAAATTCCTTGAGCTAATGAATTTCCGCATCTTAGAAGCATCTTCCCACCTCCCAATGGATGTATAAATGTGAGAGAGCAAAACATATGGTCCAGCACTCTCGGGCTCTAGCTCTAATAGCTTCTTTGCAGCAAGCTCGGCAATCTCAGCATTCTTGTGCATCCTACAGGCACCCATCAGTGCTCCCCAGATGATAGCATCGGCTTCAACTGGCATGTTCTTAATCAAATCCAATGCTTCATCTACAAGTCCAGCTCGACCAAGCAAATCAACCATACAAGAGTAATGCTCCGCTCCTGGTCGGATGGCAGAATTCTTACACATAGAATTGAAAATTTCCCTCCCTACTTTTACTTTCCCCGTATAGCTACAAGCAGTGAGGACTCCTATATAAGTAATCCCATCAGGTGCCATTCCTGCAATCGTCATGTCATTAAATATGCCAAGTGCTTCCTCCCCCAACCCATGTTGAGCATAACCAGTGATCATCGAGTTCCACATCACGACATCTTTGGGCTCAAACATATTGAAGACCCTATTAGCTTTATCCAAATTTCCACATTTGATGTACATTGTGATTAATGCTGAGACAGTAGAGACGTCCATGTCAAAGGAGCATCTCAGCATTGCAGCATGCACCTCCCTTCCATAATTGAGAATAGCTAGTGCCGAACACACAGTAAGGATGCTAATGACTGATGGGTAGTTTGGACGGATACCTCTCCATGACATATCACGGAAAGTAGACAATGCCTCAATCAAGAACTCATTCTGCTCATACGCTTTAATCATTGCACTCCACGTACCATCATCCTTCTCTTGCATTCTCTCAAACACTGCCTTGGCAGCATCCACCATCCCGCGCTGCCCAAACCCAACCATCATCGCATTGCAGGCAGCCACTGGGTGCTCTGGCATTGCATTAAACAGCTGCTCGGCATCCTCGATATGTCCAGCCTGTATGTACCCGACTAACATAGCAGTCCATGACACCTCATTGCGATCAGGCATCACCTCAAAAAGCTTCCGTGCAAGGTTAAGCTTCCCGTTTTGAGAGTATCCAGATATCATTGCAGTCCATGACACAACATTCCTCTTCGGCATATCATCAAACAGCAGGCGTGCCTCGGCAATTCGGCCAACCTGGCAGTACCCAGATAGCATGGCAGTTCGTGCAACGACGTCCTTGTCAGGCATTTCGTCGAACAGCTTGCGGGCCTCGTCGAGACGGCCGGCATCAATAAAACCACCCAGCATAACCGTGTAGGAGATGTGGTTGCGCTCGGGCATCTGGTGGAACAGGCGGATGGCGTCTGCCAGGAAGCCGTGGCGCACGTACCCGCGCAGGAGGGAGGTGAAGGAGACGACTGAGGGGGGTAAGGGGATGGAGGCGAGCGCGGCCGCCGCATCAGGGAGGGTGTGACGGCGGAGGGAGAAGCCGGAGATGAGAGCGTTGTAGGAGCCGAGATCGCGGGAGGGCATGCGGCGGAAGAGGCCGAGGGCGGCCTCCGGGAGGTGGTTACGGAAGTAGCCGGCGATGAGGGCGTTGTAGGAAGCGGTGGTGCGGAGGGGCATGGCCTCGAACGTCGCGCGGGCGCCCTCCATGTTCCCCGCGCGCGCCATCCAGGCGATGCGCGCGTTCGCGGCCACCACCGCCGGCGCCGCACTCGACGGCAGGAAGCGAACCGACGGGAGGCGCATGGCGAGCGGGTGTGTGCGTCGTAACCGGAGAAAAAATTACTCAATCCATCCTATGCGTTGTTTTTAGGAAACCTTTACCTTCAGCTGACTCATCCTATGCGAGCGTCTGCCGTCTCCCTGTCCGTCCGATGCACTGTTAATCACAGGATGGAGAACCACCCCTTCTGTCTCCGCGCAACTAGTGATCGCATCCATGTTTGATTTCCGCCTCCAAACACCTCCCCACCGGCGAGATCTGCCACGCCGGCAAGATCAGCTATATCGGTCGTGGAGCACCATGAACTTTGCCGTCTCCTGTCACCACCGACGCCGGCAACAACCACATCACCGCACACGTACGTCCAAATCCATTACGCGCCTGACCCTGCATCGTTCTTTGCAATAACACTTGCAATACATGTTTTCTGCAACAACGACTTTGCTGTGGAATGATGGCAGCGAATGACGACTGTGCAAATGTGCGATGCGGCAGGAGATGCTGTTGCAATTTTTGCAACAAGACTCTGTGCAAGTGTGCGACGCGGCCGGAGATATTGTTGCAAAAAATTAGATGCAGCGGCGGGAGATGTTGTTGCAATTTTGCAATAAAGATCTTGTTGCAGGAAATTAGAGAAATGTTTTTGCAACATGAGTTTTGTTACAAAAAATCATAGAAGAAGACATTTTGCAACAAGGGTCTTATTGCAGAATTATTTTTTCTGAAACTCTTATTGTAGAAAATTAGAAAAGAGAAGAAAATTACAAACTGCTTGCATCACCTTATCGAACGGCTCACAAGGCGACATATTTTTTAAAAGAATTCGCCGGCCGACGTGTAGCATAGCCTTTTTTATAAAAAAAAATTACTCCCCCCATCCTATGCGTTGTTTTTATGAGAAATTTTTGCTGGAGGTACTCATATTTGTCGCATTGCTCAATTTAGTCATGTAGTTAGAAATACCCGAAATACAGTGACTAAACTTGTCTCAGGGGTTCACATATGGTCCAATGTATGATTTCTTATACGCACACGCTGATTTGGCAGTTGGCTTGTCCACGCGTGCGTTGACCACCAACTCATCAGCACCTGGTCTCGTCCATTCGATTCGGGTTTTCTTTTTTGCAAAATTTTCGTAATTAACATTTCGCACCTCACCTGGTCGGACCACACCTAGTCAGCCGCCCCCACACCTCGCCCTGGTTGGACCGCTCTCCTCTTCTCTCCACTCTCGAACCCTAGTCCCCAAAATTCCCTCGTCGCCGTCGCCGGCCTCCACCGCCGCCGCCGCAGCCACTACCGCTGCCCTAAGCTGCCGCCGCCTAGCTGCCATAGGAGTGCCGCCGCCTGGATCTACTGCCCCCTCGCCGACGGTGTGGTCAACATGTCATCTGCGAGCTCCGTCCGCTCGGGACTGTGTGGGCACCCTGTTGATGTGCCATTGATATGTTGCCCCGATTGTGGCGACCCTGTGAAGTTCTACCGCTCTAGCACCGATGAGCATGATGGTTGGGTTTTCTACAAGTGCAGCAACCACATTGTAAGCTATCTTGATCTGTTTCCTCTAACGATGTTGCTGCCCTACTTGTTGTTATAGTTGGCATGATATATGTTCTGCTTGCTTAGTAGCCATGATTTTGCTCTGCTTACTTAGTTTGCTGAAAAAATTAGTTAACTAATTTTGTTTACTTACTAGGTAGATGCTATGATTCTTTCACAAAACTTGATATGATTCATTGATAGTAGTCTTAACTTAACTATTGGAGTTAACTGAACTAGTTGTGGCTACTGCAAATTTACTAGTTAACTGAACATTTTCATGTTAACTGAAGTTTTTCAGCCATCTTGTACACATTTTCTGTGGTTCATATGTTCCAAGTTAATTGAACTTTAGTTTGTTGTGGTTTATTTAGAATAACCAGGTTAACTGAACTTTTACAATTAACATAACTATTTCAGTCATTTTCACATATGGCATTGCTTTGGTTCTTCTGAAATAAAGATGTATCTTTCTTATTCCTAGGTCACCTGTGATTTCTGACGCTAGGAGTTAGAATATGTGTAGCATCTGGTTGAAACTAGGGCTCTTGTTGGTAATGCTGTTGTAGATGCAATAGGTGCAACTGAGGATAGAAGGGAAGAGCTTGAGAGGAAGAGGATTGACTCAATGGCAGGAAGAAACTTAGTTGGAAGGGGCTTGGCTGGAAGAGGCATTGCAGGCAGAGTTAATTTTGGCAACCCTAGTGAGAAGAACTTCGCTACCAAGCAGCAAGTTGCTATGCTACATGGATTAGGTAGAGGGATCCTACTACTACTAAAGCTTGTTATGGCTAGTGTTGTGGTGCTTTGTGTGATGTCTTTCATCTTAATTATGAAGAAGTGAGATGTTGATAAATGAGTAGGTGTCTCAGGTGAAGGTGTTCTTAATTGAGCATACATTATGTTATGTTGGTTGTATGGTTGTAATGGATAATCTATCAAGTAATATGAAGATTGCAGTATCAATGTTTATTCTTCCAATTTGTTGTCATTTGAAATTGTAGCCTGAAGGGTTATTCTTCCAAATTGTTGTCATTTGAATTTTTTATCTTGATACCTTAGCTCTATTGCAAATATGGACAACCATATAGCATGGCACTGAACTTAACTAGAAAAGATTCAGTTAACTGAGCTAAAATGTAACTGAACTTAACTAAAAAAGATTCAGTTAACTGAGCCATGCACAGATACTTTGTCTTTTCTGAACTGAAATGAACTAAAGAGCAACCATGTACATGCACATTGGCACCCTACAACGTGCACTCTACGTGTGGCTTTGGTCCACCACCACCAGATCCACCTTTTCTTCCTCCACACATGCCACCAGCTTCATCTTCATCGCTTTTCTTCCACCACCAGATCCACCACCACTTGTTCCCCTTCTCTTCCTCCTCTGGTCTCCAGCGGCAACCATGGTGTCGTGGGATGATCTCCCTAGCTCTTCTGAAGATGACCCGGTGACCAGCAAGGTTGGTCATCTCCTCCACGCATCTAGGGTTAACAAGCAGCTAGGGTTTCTCTTCTCCATATGTGGATTGAATACAATTTGTATTTGTCTTATCCTCCTACCACAATCTTATGTGAGGAATGGAGAGGCATGTCGACATATCTGCCTAGCTTTACATGTGAGCATGTATCTTTGTGTGATAAGTTTGTGGCACTTGAATCAATTGATACTAGCAGGAGGTTCGTAGCCTGTGCACAGAAGGTTAGTACAAATTCAGTCAAAATGTCAAAAGTTCAGAAAATTCAAATAAAGCAAAAGGTCCAGTTAAGTTTAAATTTTAGTTATTTCTTGAGTAGTGGACATTTTGTATGCCATTCATGTGCTATGTTTAGTAGCACCACCCATTTTAGTTAACTGAATTTATGTTTGGTTTAAATTGATAGGAAGTACCTAGATGCAACTATGTGGAGTGGGTTGAACCTGAGTGGCCTGATGCTATGAAGACGAGCCTAGCTAGGATATGGAGCATGTATGATGAGGAGACAAAACAGAGGCTTAGACAAAATGTTCCGAATGCTAAAGAAAACTTGAAGATCTGAAGAGAAAAAAAGATGGAAAAAGAGCTAAGAAATTTCAGGCTTGATTTTGCTAAGATGGTGGCTGAGAGGAGCAGGCAATTAGCCAATTAGGCAGCACGCAACTTGCTCTGACTGATCTTAAGGAAGATCTTGAGAAGAAGAAGACGAATGAAAAAACAGTAACAAGCATTCATCAGGTATTCAGGGCTAAGGCAGAAAAAGAGAGAGACCAAGTAATGCAGGAGAGGGACCAAGTCATTGGAGAGAGGAGTCAATTAAAGCAAGAGAAGAGGAAGCTTGAGTACATGATTGGTGACTTGTTCAAACACAAAGAGGACACCAAGGAGAAAATAAGAAAGCTTAACGAGATGTTGGACGATTTTGATTGATCTGATGTTGTTCTTAAATGTATTTCTAGATATTTGAATTTGCGTCAGGTTTGAAATTGAACTTAATTTGTAACCGAATTTGTTTATCGAGCAGCTAACCACATATGCATTTTTAGAGCGCTAATAGTTTACTGACAAAAGACATAGAAAATGGTTAAATGGATTTTGATTGACATAGATAACTCTCAAAATTTAGTTAACTCGCAAAATTCAATTATCTGACAAATGCACACAAAATTTAGTTAAACAACAACACCAGATCTCTTGCAACAATGACAACACATCAGCAACAAAACATCAACATAGTAGCAACAATGACAGCAACACTTCAGCATTTCACAATACTAGTCCACAAATAGATAGTTCAACATTTCATAGTACTTGTCCACAAATAGATACCTTAATTGATTTCATAGTACTACTCCATACACTGGTACACCGACGTGCTATACAAACAGTTTTTAACCCCTTTCCGCGATGGCATTTGGAACCGTCGCCAAGTATGGGAGATAGGGGGGTCCTTCCCACACGACCCAGAAACCGTCTGGGATAGGCCCTCCTGGCACACAAAAATGAGCTCGTGTGCGATCTGGCGGGGTATCGAAACCCAATTGTTTCCGTTCGTATGTACATCCCACACGGTGAATCCCAGAAAATCATTTCCGTTCGTATGTATATCACACACATGTGGAAACGTTTGTGCAAGGTGGCCTAACGCAAACAGTTCTCTGCTGGAAGCCATGTGTGATTGTTAGTTGATCGAACACGCCTACTTTCTAGTAACCGTGCGGGTTGTTTGAGTTCATCGCCCACGGTGTTGTCTGAGTAAGCGTCTGCAATAGAAAACCCCAATAAGCAAGGTAATTAGCCTATTATTGATAATCCATGTACTAATCAAATTGATATTTCTCATAAAACACACCAGATATTTCATATCCATATAACAACAACCAGGATTTCATAATCGAATTACATCAGATAGCTTCGGCACTCAGTTACACCATTACACAACAACACCAAGTTTTACAGGCAACATAAAAAACCTTTAGAAAGTAGCATCATACACGGTA